CACCGGGAAGGAAGCTTGTGCGCTCGAAAGTTTCCACCTCTTCTTTTCCAACACGTACACAAACAGATCTCCTCCGTCTTGGCGCCGCGGATGCTCTCCAGGAGTTCGTGTCGCTGCTGCTCGAGTGATACGCTACAGCACAGCAGCGTGGTGCAAAGCAAGGCAATGCAACGTCGGTTGGCAACCAGCCACTCGAGACCATCATTTGCGTAGCTCGCATCCACACTTCACGCAGTTTTCGCACCAAGAGAAATACGCGCACGGCTTTGCAAGATACTTCAATGTCGTTTGCGGACCACCACAGTGCCAACGTGTCCCGGATACCAGCTCATGCTAGAGAAGTAGTGGCCTCAGCTCTCTCAAGCGGATGGAGGCAATCTTAGCCATGAGACAATCACACGGCGATGAAGAGTCTACTTGCTTGCAACGCCACCGGGAAGGAAGCTTGTGCGCTCGAAAGTTTCCACCTCTTCTTTTCCAACACGTACACAAACAGATCTCCTCCGTCTTGGCGCCGCGGATGCTCTCCAGGAGTTCGTGTCGCTGCTGCTCGAGTGATACGCTACAGCACAGCAGCGTGGTGCAAAGCAAGGCAATGCAACGTCGGTTGGCAACCAGCCACTCGAGACCATCATTTACGTAGCTCGCATCCACACTTCGCGCAGTTTTCGCACCAAGAGAAATACGCGCACGGCTTTGCAAGATACTTCAATGTCGTTTGCGGACCACCACAGTGCCAACGTGTCCCGGATACCAGCTCATGCTAGAGAAGTAGTGGACTCAGCTCTCTCAAGCGGATGGAGGCAATCTTAGCCATGAGACAATCACACGGCGATGAAGAGTCTACTTGCTTGCAACGCCACCGGGAAGGAAGCTTGTGCGCTCGAAAGTCTCCACCTCTTCTTTTCCAACACGTACACAAACAGATCTCCTCCGTCATGGCGCCGCGGATGCTCTCCAGGAGTTCGTGTCGCTGCTGCTCGAGTGATACGCTACAGCACAGCAGCGTGGTGCAAAGCAAGGCAATGCAACGTCGGTTGGCAACCAGCCACTCGAGACCATCATTTACGTAGCTCGCATCCACACTTCACGCAGTTTTCGCACCAAGAGAAATACGCGCACGGCTTTGCAAGATACTTCAATGTCGTTTGCGGACCACCACAGTGCCAACGTGTCCCGGATACCAGCTCATGCTAGAGAAGTAGTGGCCTCAGCTCTCTCAAGCGGATGGAGGCAATCTTAGCCATGAGACAATCACGGCGATGAAGAGTCTACTTGCTTGCAACGCCACCGGGAAGGAAGCTTGTGCGCTCGAAAGTCTCCACCTCTTCTTTTCCAACACGTACACAAACAGATCTCCTCCGTCATGGCGCCGCGGATGCTCTCCAGGAGTTCGTGTCGCTGCTGCTCGAGTGATACGCTACAGCACAGCAGCGTGGTGCAAAGCAAGGCAATGCAACGTCGGTTGGCAACCAGCCACTCGAGACCATCATTTGCGTAGCTCGCATCCACGCTTCACGCAGTTTTCGCACCAAGAGAAATACGCGCACGGCTTTGCAAGATACTTCAATGTCGTTTGCGGACCACCACAGTGCCAACGTGTCCCGGATACCAGCTCATGCTAGAGAAGTAGTGGCCTCAGCTCTCTCAAGCGGATGGAGGCAATCTTAGCCATGAGACAATCACACGGCGATGAAGAGTCTACTTGCTTGCAACGCCACCGGGAAGGAAGCTTGTGCGCTCGAAAGTCTCCACCTCTTCTTTTCCAACACGTACACAAACAGATCTCCTCCGTCATGGCGCCGCGGATGCTCTCCAGGAGTTCGTGTCGCTGCTGCTCGAGTGATACGCTACAGCACAGCAGCGTGGTGCAAAGCAAGGCAATGCATTACGTCGGTTGGCAACCAGCCACTCGAGACCATCATTTACGTAGCTCGCATCCACACTTCACGCAGTTTTCGCACCAAGAGAAATACGCGCACGGCTTTGCAAGATACTTCAATGTCGTTTGCGGACCACCACAGTGCCAACGTGTTCCGGATACCAGCTCATGCTAGAGAAGTAGTGGCCTCAGCTCTCTCAAGCGGATGGAGGCAATCATAGCCATGAGACAATCACACGGCGATGAAGAGTCTACTTGCTTGCAACGCCACCGGGAAGGAAGCTTGTGCGCTACGAAAGTCTCCACCTCTTCTTTTCCAACACGTACACAAACAGATCTCCTCCGTCTTGGCGCCGCGGATGCTCTCCAGGAGTTCGTGTCGCTGCTGCTCGAGTGATACGCTACAGCACAGCAGCGTGGTGCAAAGCAAGGCAATGCAACGTCGGTTGGCAACCAGCCACTCGAGACCATCATTTGCGTAGCTCGCATCCACACTTCGCGCAGTTTTCGCACCAAGAGAAATACGCGCACGGCTTTGCAAGATACTTCAATGTCGTTTGCGGACCACCACAGTGCCAACGTGTCCCGGATACCAGCTCATGCTAGAGAAGTAGTGGCCTCAGCTCTCTCAAGCGGATGGAGGCAATCTTAGCCATGAGACAATCACGGCGATGAAGAGTCTACTTGCTTGCAACGCCACCGGGAAGGAAGCTTGTGCGCTCGAAAGTCTCCACCTCTTCTTTTCCAACACGTACACAAACAGATCTCCTCCGTCATGGCGCCGCGGATGCTCTCCAGGAGTTCGTGTCGCTGCTGCTCGAGTGAATACGCTACAGCACAGCAGCGTGGTGCAAAGCAAGGCAATGCATTGCAACGTCGGTTGGCAACCAGCCACTCGAGACCATCATTTACGTAGCTCGCATCCACACTTCGCGCAGTTTTCGCACCAAGAGAAATACGCGCACGGCTTTGCAAGATACTTCAATGTCGTTTGCGGACCACCACAGTGCCAACATGCCCCGGATACCAGCTCATGCTAGAGAAGTAGTGGACTCAGCTCTCTCAAGCGGATGGAGACAATCTTAGCGATGAGACAATCACGGCGATGAAGAGTCTACTTGCTTGCAACGCCACCGGGAAGGAAGCTTGTGCGCTACGAAAGTCTCCACCTCTTCTTTTCCAACACGTACACAAACAGATCTCCTCCGTCATGGCGCCGCGGATGCTCTCCAGGAGTTCGTGTCGCTGCTGCTCGAGTGATACGCTACAGCACAGCAGCGTGGTGCAAAGCAAGGCAATGCATTGCAACGTCGGTTGGCAACCAGCCACTCGAGACCATCATTTACGTAGCTCGCATCCACACTTCGCGCAGTTTTCGCACCAAGAGAAATACGCGCACGGCTTTGCAAGATACTTCAACGTCGTTTGCGGACCACCACAGTGCCAACATGCCCCGGATACCAGCTCATGCTAGAGAAGTAGTGGACTCAGCTCTCTCAAGCGGATGGAGGCAATCTTACGCCATGAGACAATCACGGCGATGAAGAGTCTACTTGCTTGCAACGCCACCGGGAAGGAAGCTTGTGCGCTACAAAGTTTCCACCTCTTCTTTTCCAACACGTACACAAACAGATCTCCTCCGTCTTGGCGCCGCGGATGCTCTCCAGGAGTTCGTGTCGCTGCTGCTCGAGTGAATACGCTACAGCACAGCAGCGTGGTGCAAAGCAAGGCAATGCATTGCAACGTCGGTTGGCAACCAGCCACTCGAGACCATCATTTACGTAGCTCGCATCCACTCTTCGCGCAGTTTTCGCACCGAGAGAAATGCGTGCACGGCTTTGCAAGATACTTCAACGTCGTTTGCGGACCACCACAGTGCCAACATGCCCCGGATACCAGCTCATGCTAGAGAAGTAGTGGCCTCAGCTCTCTCAAGCGGATGGAGGCAATCTTAGCCATGAGACAATCACAGGGCGATGAAGAGTCTACTTGCTTGCAACGCCACCGGGAAGGAAGCTTGTGCGCTACAAAGTTTCCACCTCTTCTTTTCCAACACGTACACAAACAGATCTCCTCCGTCTTGGCGCCGCGGATGCTCTCCAGGAGTTCGTGTCGCTGCTGCTCGAGTGAATACGCTACAGCACAGCAGCGTGGTGCAAAGCAAGGCAATGCATTGCAACGTCGGTTGGCAACCAGCCACTCGAGACCATCATTTACGTAGCTCGCATCCACTCTTCGCGCAGTTTTCGCACCGAGAGAAATACGCGCACGGCTTTGCAAGATACTTCAATGTCGTTTGCGGACCACCACAGTCCCAACGTGCCCCGGATACCAATGCATGCTAGAGAAGTAGTTACGCGACCTTGTCGTCGCAGCAGTCTCAGTTTTAGCCGATTCACCTGATACACGAGATATGGCTTTGAGATCCCTTGATGGTGCACCAACAGAATAGTGGCCACCACGTGTGACATGGCACCCGTTGCGTTTTCGATTCGTGCGTTCGTGATGGCGTATCTCACATCTTCGACAACAGCAGACGTCGGCACAGCGATCTCCTCCCTCTTTTCGGCGTGCGCGATAGTTGCATCGACATACTGCTTCACATCCAACGGTCCACCAAACTTTACCAAGATCGAGCCAAACTACTTTTGAACGACTGGCATGGCTTTGAACAAAACGCTGATCGACTACGAAGCGAACACGACAATGAGTGTAAACGCACAAGAAGCATGCAGCAGCAAAGAGAATGTATGACAGCATACCTCCGAATTTTGCCTCGCTTAGTAGCTCGTTCTGGTGCAGCAGTACTTCCAGCGGCTTTTCATAGTCGATAGTCACAAGTACGATGTAGAGCTAGCAGCACGAAACGAAAACACATGTCAATCTTTGAGCTTTGAGCCTCGAGCAATCCGTCAATACGAAACCGACTTACATTACTGACTCTCCCGGACACGTAGCAACCCACAAAGGTGCTAACAATACCAAACTTTGGGGGTGCAGTTGATTGCCACTGCGACTGCGTCAACCTTCAATAAAGAAATCGATCGTCTATCCTCTCGATACCAAGTACTGGGTGTACGCTCGGAACACAGCGGTATATAACGGGTCATCGGAAAACGATCGGCGAATGAAGTAAACTCCAGACTCACGTAGCAGTTTGGTGAGGGTGCCCGCATGTAAAAACCTTCTCCAGCGACAACGTATGGAACGGGGATGGTGTAAGCGAAGAAGACGTAGCTCATGAGCAAAAAGTCCACGTACGATCGGGACAAGGACGACGCTTCCACGGCGGTCGGCCGGAAGGTCGCGAATTGGAGTCAGACCCGTCTCGTCCACAGGATTTGGTCGTACATGTTTCGACAGACCTTCCGGAGAAGCCTGCCAAACTTACGCACAGCCTTGTAATCCATTTGTGCGGCCATGGTCTCAAGTATACTGGCAGCTGACATTCTCATCGTCCGATTCCATCCCTTGCGCCAAGGCACACGCTTTGATCGCAGCACGAACGCCTTCTGACTCCAACACGCTGTTGCAAGGGCCACTGATGGACTCGACATGGGCCCGGGGAACGTGTGATGCCTCGTGGTTTACGCCTTCCTTCCATCCATCAATCAAGTAAGACCCATCATGCGACCGAGCAGCCCAGGTTTCGTGTATCTGGCTTGCGGCTTGACGTGTACGCCCAGACCGCATCAGAGAGCAGACCGGGAAATGGGATGGCACGGTGGTCTGGATCCCATTCCAGCATGCATGTTGGCGAGCGTGACCTCGAGACGGTGGCTGGACACGAGCGTGTTGAGGAAGCCGCTGCGGTGGCTCATACGGCTGACACTGCTGCGCCCGCTTGGTGCATAACGACACGTCGTCAAGTGGAGTGCAAACTGACGGGCGACATTGCCACTGCGCGTCTGTATCGTTTCCCCCTCCACACAATGAATAATTAGGTCTGAGAGGGTAGATCGCACCATGCTTTTTAGCATACTTTGGTCAAGTCAAGCGCTTAATCGATCGCGCCATTGCTTTTTGTCGTACCTTTTTGGTCAAGTAAGGCTTTTGGTCGATCGCGTCATTGCTTTTTGTCCTACTTGTTTGTTCGAGCAAGGCTTTTGGTCGATCGCGCCATTGCTTTTTGTCATACCTTTTTTGTCAAGTCAAGCGCTTGGCCGATTGCGCTCCACACCAAATCGACAAACAAACCTCTGTGTTTCGGTCTGTCTCAAATTCAGTCATTCAGCTTGACACCGACCACGACCTCCGATCAAGACACTCGACCAGCCCCATTTCGCGTTCCTGTCATGCGCCCGTCACTGTCGTCGTCTACAACGACCCCCAACCGTGGCGAAAAGGGCTGCAACGAGGAGTGCCTTCATCACCGCCGCCGCCGAGCGGACAGTGCGCCGTTTACCGCGTCGAAGCGCCAGAAAACAGACGACAACGACGCGCGTCGTGGCGATCGCGAGCCTGCGCCCGTGCCCGCGAGTGGTTTCTTTGTCCGTCTCGCACGTTATATTCCTATTGTGAACAGGTTTGTGGCGGAGGAAGACGTGGGTACGAATGTGGATTTGGATGTCGGCGCGGACGCTGGTGTTGATGACGACACGGACGATGTAGAGTCGTCGGTCTTGAAGACATGTGACCGGATTCGGACGACGCAAGAGTACTTTGGTGAAGAGGGCGAGGGACGGGACCGTGATGGTGGTGAAGATGGAGGCGAAGATGAAAAAAAGGTGCCGGAAACGTTTGTGCCAGTGGATGTGGAGAAGAAGAAGAATGTGCAGCAACAGCAACAGCAGAAGGATACGCTTGAGGACGCGGTGGACGTGTCGGTGCCGCCGGTGACCCGCTCGACGCTACCTGCGGGTCAAGGGAAGAAGAAATTTGCCACAAGACTGTCGCCTCCGCTCAAGTGTCGTCGTTCGCCGCCGTGTGAGAGCAAGCAAGAGAAGGAAAGCTCTAGCGCTGTGATGGATGAAGTGCGGCGAATACGTGAGAAGCGTGAGGGCATCTTCGGATCATCTCGACCGCCTCAGACGCCGAATGCTGCTGGCACGCAGGAGCGACAGGTACCCACTTCTCCGTCGCCGCTCGACGTGGCACGCAAGATCATCAAAGAGAAAAAGAAAATCTCGCTTGACGAGTTTGAGCGTCTTCAGCACCAGCTGCACGAAATGGTCGGGACAACGCCTCACGAACAGTTGACGCAAGCATATTTGTTAATGGATCTCGGGCTCCTGGTGACGCCAAGCTGTCCTGGCGTAAAGTCGGAGCTAAGTTTTGTGCCTGGTTCTATTGCTGCGCAGAACCGTGGTCGTTCGGCCGCTCGAAGTGAGCAGAAACGTGGATCGGGAGATGAGGTGAAGAGTGATATGCCGTCCGGTAAGCGTCCAAGAACGCACGAGACTGAACCAGTGAGACGCCCTGGCGCTACTCTGCGCGGACTCCTGACGCGTGAGGAACGCCGGTTGCGTAAACCACGTTCGTCTCCGCTGTTGCCTAGGCGCGATGCTGCTACAAGCAAGATGTGTTCTGATGCGCTTGCGAGAAGACATTATATTGGTGCTAAACAAGGTGCAGAGCCCGCCGGCGGAAGAAGCACTCAAGCCGACACCTTCGACGACCGTGTCGGGGACTTCGAGAAGTGCGACTGCTGCGTCAACTGATGCGCCTGCGCCAAGTTCGTCTCAGGTGACGTCGATGACCTCTGCATCGACTCCCACGAGAACTGTTCTTGAGCAGCAAGAGATGGAGACGATTGGTGGATTAGGGGTTATACTTCCTATTGGCGTCGAAGGAATGAAACACGCAGGGGCGGATGATAAGGATACCCGTGTCCGATTTGTGTTCTCTCCTTCGCCCAGCATGCGCGAGCCTCCCGTGAAAGTTTTGAACCAGAAGACTACGAAGGATGACGGCAAAAAGTCTGTCGCGGCCGAGGAGGCCACGAAGCTTAGTGCTGATATGCCGGCAGTTACACCTGCTGCTTCTCTCAGCGGTGCTGCTAATCCTCTCGCCAGGTTTATGCAGCTAAAACCTGGACAGTGGAAGTGTACTGGATGCCGTGTCTTGAACGAGGCTACCAGTGGCAGATGTCCATGTTGTGGAACCGCTCGATCTGATGGTGGCTCTGCGGCAAAAGCTCGTACTGCACTGTTGGAGACGACTGAAAAGTGTCCTTTGACTGGACTTAGCTTTGGTACAACCACCGAAGCTACAGCGGCCGCAGACAAGGGTACTGCTACGCCGGCTGCTGGCTCAATCACGCCTGCTCTCACAAGTTTTAGCACTGCGTCGTCTCCGCAACCGATGGAATCCACAGCGTTCTGTTGGGCACCTGCCACAACGAGCTTCGGTACTGCGTCGTCAGCTTTTGGGTCGAGCTCATCTGGTGGCGCTGATTCCAGCTCCACTGCGGGAGGGTTCGGTAGTACTTCGGCTGCTGCTCCCTCGACTCCGTATGGCAGCTCCACGTCTTCGTTGCAAGCTGCACCGCCATTTCTTTTCGGAGGATTTAGTCAAGCACAAACTGCGACTACGCCGACAAACACCCAGCCGACGCTCGCTTTCAGTGCGTCGAGTGCCCCAGCTCCTAACGGCTTTGAAACGGTGGTCCAAGTGGTGGATTCGGCACTACATTTGTTGCTCCTGCGCCAGGCAGTGGATTCGGCAATGGCCCACCGAGCTTGCACCGGCGGTCCAAGCGGTGGATTTGGAACTATATTTGATGCTCCTGAGACAGGCAGTGAATTCGGCAATGGCCCACCGAGCTCTGACTTTCTCCCTCCAACTCCGACCTCTGCATCTCCAACTCCGACCTCTGCATTTGGTTTCACTCCTGCAGCTCCGGGCTTTGGCACCATTCCAAACACGGCTTTTGGCACTGAAGCTCCCACTTCTGGTTTCAGAGATCCTACTGCAGATGCAGTTAGCGCTCCAGATGATGGCACGTGTAGCATGGACATTGATTATGTCCATGCTGATAGCACGTTTGGCATGGACGTTGGTTATGCCCCAGTCCAAGCTTCGCCCTTCGGCACTGACCCGAGTATAGCTTTCAATGCTACGACTTCCGCTTTTGGTTTTGGAGCTCCTGCTGCAGATGGTTTTGGCGCCCCGACTGACGGCAGGTTCGGCATGAACGGTGGTTATGCCCCAGCCCCAGCTTCGCCCTTCGGCACTGACCCGAGTATAGCTTTCAGTGCGACGCCATCCGCTTCTAGTTTTGGAGCTCCTGCTGCAGGCGGTTTTGGCGCCCCGACTGACGGCAGGTTTGGCATGAACGGTGGTTATGCCCCAGCCCCAGCCCCGCCCAGCCCCAGCTTCGTCCTTCGGCACTGACCCGAGTATAGCTTTCGGTGCGACGCCATTCGCTTCAAATTTTGGAGCTCCTGCTGCAGGCGGTTTTGGCGCCCCGACTGACGGCAGGTTTGGCACGAACGGTGGTTATGCCCCAGTCCCAGCCCCAGTCCCAGCCCAAGCTTCGACCTTCCGTGCTATTCCGAACGCATCTTTCGGTGCGACGCCATCCGCTTCTGGTTTCGGAGCTCCTGCTGCAGGTGCATTTATCGCGCCCTCTGCTGTCTCATTCAGCATTGGTGTTGCACCGGAGCACGCCAAAGGTAGACGCATTTTGAAGGCCAAGAGTCGCAAACGTAGAACGTCGTAAACGAGAATGAAGGGTCAGTCAGTTTGCTTTGGTATGTCATATTATATTAGAACAAACGGCGCGACAGCGACTTACTGTAGAGGTACACGTGATGCATCATCTAACGAGCTAGAAGACAATAAATTCAATGCTTGACTCGAATGCGCCTCGGCGGTGTGTAGTCCGCACATGTGGAGTGGAAGATCAAATTGTTATTATTTATTTAGGTGCTCGAGGCTGGAGTAAAGATCAAATTGTTATTATTTATTTTGGTGTTCGGGACTGACCAACCAATGGTTCCGGCAGTGCCCCGCGTCTACGTTGACGTTGTAACAGGAACAGACCGTCGACGATGTTGTTGTGCGCTTTGCGCTGGCTCGAGAGTCATCTAGCGGGCAGTCTTCTTCACTCACTGCTGCTTTTGTCTGGATCTTAATCTCCATCCCCTTCTTCTTCCTCTTCTTTTTCACTATCATCATTCTCATTGCCATCGCCTATTACATCATCTCCGCTGCTTTTGTCTTCATTCTCTCCGACATTTCCATCACTGCTTGCATCGAATCTGGCATTCGTAAACCATGATCTCTGCCGCTCGTTGCTGCGAAACTGAGTCACGTCTGGATAGCCGGTGAAACTCTCCCGAATCTGGAGTAACTTGAACGCGTGCATCCCCGGTCTCACTGATCGTAATATGCACTTGGGTCTGAGCACAATCTCCCAAGGTCGGAAACATCAACAAACCTGCCAGTCCTTCGGCTTGCCTGATGATGACGTGTCCTGATGGTCTTTTCGAGCACCACGGCAGCCTGGCACAGACACTGCAGAGCGCACTGACACCTGCAGCACTCGATCGTCTCGCGGATCGATGTTGCAGAACGTACGATGGATCGGTGCAAACGCCCCAACAACGACTTCTCCTTTTCATCGTGCGAACTGCTGTCGTTGCTGAAATCAGGAATCGTTTCCATCAGTACAAATACCTCGGGATTAGGTACCATCAATAGCCCCTTGGGCATCAGTAGAAAACGCTGTTCACGATACATGCACCTGGACGAGACCATACCGTCCACTGACACAGTGCACGTGTACCATCTAGACGCGTCACTTGAGAGTACACTCGTAGGCTAGTGTCAATTGGCAACCAGCCACTCGAGACCATGATTTACGTAGCTCACATCCACACTTCACGCAGTTTTCGCACCAAGAGAAATACGCGCACGGCTTTGCAAGATACTTCAATGTCGTTTGCGGACCACCACAGTGCCAACGTGTACTCGATACCAGCTCATGCTAGAGAAGTCGTGGCCTCAGCTCTCTCAAGCGGACAAAGACAATCATAGCAATGAAACAATCACACGGCGATGAAGAGTCTACTTGCTTGCAACGCCACCGGAAAGGAAGCTTGTACGCTCGAAAGTTTCCACCTCTTCTTTTCCAACACGTACACAAACAGATCTCCTCCGTCTTGGCGCCGCGGATGCTCTCCAGGAGTTCGTGTCGCTGCTGCTCGAGTGATACGCTACAGCACAGTAGCGTGGTGCATAGCAAGGCAATGCAACGTCGGTTGGCAACCAGCCACTCGAGACCATCATTTACGTAGCTCGCATCCACACTTCGCGCAGTTTTCGCACCAAGAGAAATACGCGCACGGCTTTGCAAGATACTTCAATGTCGTTTGCGGACCACCACAGTGCCAACGTGTCCCGGATACCAGCGCATGCTAGAGAAGTAGTGGCCTCAGCTCTCTCAAGCGGATGGAGGCAATCTTAGCCATGAGACAATCACACGGCGATGAAGAGTCTACTTGCTTGCAACGCCACCGGGAAGGAAGCTTGTGCGCTCGAAAGTCTCCACCTCTTCTTTTCCAACACGTACACAAACAGATCTCCTCCGTCATGGCGCCGCGGATGCTCTCCAGGAGTTCGTGTCGCTGCTGCTCGAGTGATACGCTACAGCACAGCAGCGTGGTGCAAAGCAAGGCAATGCAACGTCGGTTGGCAACCAGCCACTCGAGACCATCATTTGCGTAGCTCGCATCCACGCTTCGCGCAGTTTTCGCACCAAGAGAAATACGCGCACGGCTTTGCAAGATACTTCAATGTCGTTTGCGGACCACCACAGTGCCAACGTGTCCCGGATACCAGCTCATGCTAGAGAAGTAGTGGCCTCAGCTCTCTCAAGCGGAAGGAGGCAATCACAGCGATGAGACAATCACACGGCGATGAAGAGTCTACTTGCTTGCAACGCCACCGGGAAGGAAGCTTGTGCGCTACGAAAGTTTCCACCTCTTCTTTTCCAACACGTACACAAACAGATCTCCTCCGTCTTGGCGCCGCGGATGCTCTCCAGGAGTTCGTGTCGCTGCTGCTCGAGTGAATACGCTACAGCACAGCAGCGTGGTGCAAAGCAAGGCAATGCAACGTCGGTTGGCAACCAGCCACTCGAGACCATCATTTGCGTAGCTCGCATCCACGCTTCGCGCAGTTTTCGCACCAAGAGAAATACGCGCACGGCTTTGCAAGATACTTCAATGTCGTTTGCGGACCACCACAGTGCCAACGTGTCCCGGATACCAGCGCATGCTAGAGAAGTAGTGGCCTCAGCTCTCTCAAGCGGAAGGAGGCAATCATAGCCATGAGACAATCACACGGCGATGAAGAGTCTACTTGCTTGCAACGCCACCGGGAAGGAAGCTTGTGCGCTACGAAAGTCTCCACCTCTTCTTTTCCAACACGTACACAAACAGATCTCCTCCGTCTTGGCGCCGCGGATGCTCTCCAGGAGTTCGTGTCGCTGCTGCTCGAGTGAATACGCTACAGCACAGCAGCGTGGTGCAAAGCAAGGCAATGCAACGTCGGTTGGCAACCAGCCACTCGAGACCATCATTTACGTAGCTCGCATCCACGCTTCGCGCAGTTTTCGCACCAAGAGAAATACGCGCACGGCTTTGCAAGATACTTCAATGTCGTTTGCGGACCACCACAGTGCCAACATGTCCCGGATACCAGCTCATGCTAGAGAAGTAGTGGCCTCAGCTCTCTCAAGCGGATGGAGGCAATCACAGCCATGAGACAATCACACGGCGATGAAGAGTCTACTTGCTTGCAACGCCACCGGGAAGGAAGCTTGTACGCTCGAAAGTCTCCACCTCTTCTTTTCCAACACGTACACAAACAGATCTCCTCCGTCATGGCGCCGCGGATGCTCTCCAGGAGTTCGTGTCGCTGCTGCTCGAGTGATACGCTACAGCACAGTAGCGTGGTGCAAAGCAAGGCAATGCAACGTCGGTTGGCAACCAGCCACTCGAGACCATCATTTACGTAGCTCGCATCCACGCTTCGCGCAGTTTTCGCACCAAGAGAAATACGCGCACGGCTTTGCAAGATACTTCAATGTCGTTTGCGGACCACCACAGTGCCAACGTGTCCCGGATACCAGCGCATGCTAGAGAAGTAGTGGCCTCAGCTCTCTCAAGCGGATGGAGGCAATCTTAGCCATGAGACAATCACGGCGATGAAGAGTCTACTTGCTTGCAACGCCACCGGGAAGGAAGCTTGTGCGCTCGAAAGTCTCCACCTCTTCTTTTCCAACACGTACACAAACAGATCTCCTCCGTCATGGCGCCGCGGATGCTCTCCAGGAGTTCGTGTCGCTGCTGCTCGAGTGAATACGCTACAGCACAGCAGCGTGGTGCAAAGCAAGGCAATGCAACGTCGGTTGGCAACCAGCCACTCGAGACCATCATTTGCGTAGCTCGCATCCACACTTCGCGCAGTTTTCGCACCAAGAGAAATACGCGCACGGCTTTGCAAGATACTTCAATGTCGTTTGCGGACCACCACAGTGCCAACGTGTCCCGGATACCAGCTCATGCTAGAGAAGTAGTGGCCTCAGCTCTCTCAAGCGGATGGAGGCAATCATAGCCATGAGACAATCACACGGCGATGAAGAGTCTACTTGCTTGCAACGCCACCGGGAAGGAAGCTTGTACGCTCGAAAGTTTCCACCTCTTCTTTTCCAACACGTACACAAACAGATCTCCTCCGTCTTGGCGCCGCGGATGCTCTCCAGGAGTTCGTGTCGCTGCTGCTCGAGTGATACGCTACAGCACAGCAGCGTGGTGCAAAGCAAGGCAATGCAACGTCGGTTGGCAACCAGCCACTCGAGACCATCATTTGCGTAGCTCGCATCCACGCTTCGCGCAGTTTTCGCACCAAGAGAAATACGCGCACGGCTTTGCAAGATACTTCAATGTCGTTTGCGGACCACCACAGTGCCAACGTGTCCCGGATACCAGCTCATGCTAGAGAAGTAGTGGCCTCAGCTCTCTCAAGCGGATGAGACAATCATAGCCATGAGACAATCACACGGCGATGAAGAGTCTACTTGCTTGCAACGCCACCGGGAAGGAAGCTTGTGCGCTACGAAAGTCTCCACCTCTTCTTTTCCAACACGTACACAAACAGATCTCCTCCGTCATGGCGCCGCGGATGCTCTCCAGGAGTTCGTGTCGCTGCTGCTCGAGTGAATACGCTACAGCACAGTAGCGTGGTGCAAAGCAAGGCAATGCAACGTCGGTTGGCAACCAGCCACTCGAGACCATCATTTACGTAGCTCGCATCCACGCTTCACGCAGTTTTCGCACCAAGAGAAATACGCGCACGGCTTTGCAAGATACTTCAATGTCGTTTGCGGACCACCACAGTGCCAACGTGTCCCGGATACCAGCTCATGCTAGAGAAGTAGTGGCCTCAGCTCTCTCAAGCGGATGGAGGCAATCTTAGCCATGAGACAATCACACGGCGATGAAGAGTCTACTTGCTTGCAACGCCACCGGGAAGGAAGCTTGTGCGCTCGAAAGTCTCCACCTCTTCTTTTCCAACACGTACACAAACAGATCTCCTCCGTCATGGCGCCGCGGATGCTCTCCAGGAGTTCGTGTCGCTGCTGCTCGAGTGAATACGCTACAGCACAGCAGCGTGGTGCAAAGCAAGGCAATGCATTCAACGTCGGTTGGCAACCAGCCACTCGAGACCATCATTTGCGTAGCTCGCATCCACGCTTCACGCAGTTTTCGCACCAAGAGAAATACGCGCACGGCTTTGCAAGATACTTCAATGTCGTTTGCGGACCACCACAGTGCCAACGTGTCCCGGATACCAGCGCATGCTAGAGAAGTAGTGGCCTCCAGCTCTCTCAAGCGGAAAGCGACAATCACACGGCGATGAAGAGTCTACTTGCTTGCAACGCCACCGGGAAGGAAGCTTGTACGCTAGAAAGTCTCCACCTCTTCTTTTCCAACACGTACACAAACAGATCTCCTCCGTCTTGGCGCCGCGGATGCTCTCCAGGAGTTCGTGTCGCTGCTGCTCGAGTGATACGCTACAGCACAGTAGCGTGGTGCAAAGCAAGGCAATGCAACGTCGGTTGGCAACCAGCCACTCGAGACCATCATTTGCGTAGCTCGCATCCACGCTTCGCGCAGTTTTCGCACCAAGAGAAATACGCGCACGGCTTTGCAAGATACTTCAATGTCGTTTGCGGACCACCACAGTGCCAACGTGTCCCGGATACCAGCTCATGCTAGAGAAGTAGTGGCCTCAGCTCTCTCAAGCGGATGGAGGCAATCTTAGCCATGAGACAATCACGGCGATGAAGAGTCTACTTGCTTGCAACGCCACCGGGAAGGAAGCTTGTGCGCTCGAAAGTCTCCACCTCTTCTTTTCCAACACGTACACAAACAGATCTCCTCCGTCTTGGCGCCGCGGATGCTCTCCAGGAGTTCGTGTCGCTGCTGCTCGAGTGATACGCTACAGCACAGTAGCGTGGTGCAAAGCAAGGCAATGCAACGTCGGTTGGCAACCAGCCACTCGAGACCATCATTTACGTAGCTCGCATCCACACTTCGCGCAGTTTTCGCACCAAGAGAAATACGCGCACGGCTTTGCAAGATACTTCAATGTCGTTTGCGGACCACCACAGTGCCAACGTGTTCCGGATGCCATCTCATGCTAGAGAAGTAGTGGCCTCAGCTCTCTCAAGCGGAAGGCGACAATCACACGGCGATGAAGAGTCTACTTGCTTGCAACGCCACCGGGAAGGAAGCTTGTACGCTCGAAAGTTTCCACCTCTTCTTTTCCAACACGTACACAAACAGATCTCCTCCGTCTTGGCGCCGCGGATGCTCTCCAGGAGTTCGTGTCGCTGCTGCTCGAGTGATACGCTACAGCACAGTAGCGTGGTGCAAAGCAAGGCAATGCAACGTCGGTTGGCAACCAGCCACTCGAGACCATCATTTGCGTAGCTCGCATCCACACTTCACGCAGTTTTCGCACCAAGAGAAATACGCGCACGGCTTTGCAAGATACTTCAATGTCGTTTGCGGACCACCACAGTGCCAACGTGTCCCGGATACCAGCTCATGCTAGAGAAGTAGTGGCCTCAGCTCTCTCAAGCGGAAGGAGACAATCACACGGCGATGAAGAGTCTACTTGCTTGCAACGCCACCGGGAAGGAAGCTTGTGCGCTACGAAAGTCTCCACCTCTTCTTTTCCAACACGTACACAAACAGATCTCCTCCGTCATGGCGCCGCGGATGCTCTCCAGGAGTTCGTGTCGCTGCTGCTCGAGTGAATACGCTACAGCACAGCAGCGTGGTGCAAAGCAAGGCAATGCAACGTCGGTTGGCAACCAGCCACTCGAGACCATCATTTGCGTAGCTCGCATCCACACTTCACGCAGTTTTCGCACCAAGAGAAATACGCGCACGGCTTTGCAAGATACTTCAATGTCGTTTGCGGACCACCACAGTGCCAACGTGTTCCGGATACCAGCTCATGCTAGAGAAGTAGTGGCCTCAGCTCTCTCAAGCGGAAGGCGACAATCACACGGCGATGAAGAGTCTACTTGCTTGCAACGCCACCGGGAAGGAAGCTTGTGCGCTCGAAAGTCTCCACCTCTTCTTTTCCAACACGTACACAAACAGATCTCCTCCGTCATGGCGCCGCGGATGCTCTCCAGGAGTTCGTGTCGCTGCTGCTCGAGTGATACGCTACAGCACAGCAGCGTGGTGCAAAGCAAGGCAATGCATTGCAACGTCGGTTGGCAACCAGCCACTCGAGACCATCATTTGCGTAGCTCGCATCCACACTTCACGCAGTTTTCGCACCAAGAGAAATACGCGCACGGCTTTGCAAGATACTTCAATGTCGTTTGCGGACCACCACAGTGCCAACGTGTCCCGGATACCAGCTCATGCTAGAGAAGTAGTGGCCTCAGCTCTCTCAAGCGGAAGGCGACAATCACACGGCGATGAAGAGTCTACTTGCTTGCAACGCCACCGGGAAGGAAGCTTGTGCGCTCGAAAGTCTCCACCTCTTCTTTTCCAACACGTACACAAACAGATCTCCTCCGTCATGGCGCCGCGGATGCTCTCCAGGAGTTCGTGTCGCTGCTGCTCGAGTGATACGCTACAGCACAGTAGCGTGGTGCAAAGCAAGGCAATGCAACGTCGGTTGGCAACCAGCCACTCGAGACCATCATTTGCGTAGCTCGCATCCACACTTCGCGCAGTTTTCGCACCAAGAGAAATACGCGCACGGCTTTGCAAGATACTTCAATGTCGTTTGCGGACCACCACAGTGCCAACGTGTCCCGGATACCAGCTCATGCTAGAGAAGTAGTGGCCTCAGCTCTCTCAAGCGGAAGGCGACAATCACACGGCGATGAAGAGTCTACTTGCTTGCAACGCCACCGGGAAGGAAGCTTGTACGCTACGAAAGTCTCCACCTCTTCTTTTCCAACACGTACACAAACAGATCTCCTCCGTCATGGCGCCGCGGATGCTCTCCAGGAGTTCGTGTCGCTGCTGCTCGAGTGATACGCTACAGCACAGCAGCGTGGTGCAAAGCAAGGCAATGCAACGTCGGTTGGCAACCAGCCACTCGAGACCATCATTTGCGTAGCTCGCATCCACACTTCACGCAGTTTTCGCACCAAGAGAAATACGCGCACGGCTTTGCAAGATACTTCAATGTCGTTTGCGGACCACCACAGTGCCAACGTGTCCCGGATACCAGCTCATGCTAGAGAAGTAGTGGCCTCAGCTCTCTCAAGCGGATGGAGGCAATCTTAGCCATGAGACAATCACACGGCGATGAAGAGTCTACTTGCTTGCAACGCCACCGGGAAGGAAGCTTGTGCGCTCGAAAGTCTCCACCTCTTCTTTTCCAACACGTACACAAACAGATCTCCTCCGTCATGGCGCCGCGGATGCTCTCCAGGAGTTCGTGTCGCTGCTGCTCGAGTGATACGCTACAGCACAGCAGCGTGGTGCAAAGCAAGGCAATGCAACGTCGGTTGGCAACCAGCCACTCGAGACCATCATTTGCGTAGCTCGCATCCACACTTCACGCAGTTTTCGCACCAAGAGAAATACGCGCACGGCTTTGCAAGATACTTCAATGTCGTTTGCGGACCACCACAGTGCCAACGTGTCCCGGATGCCAGCTCATGCTAGAGAAGTAGTGGCCTCAGCTCTCTCAAGCGGAAGGCGACAATCACACGGCGATGAAGAGTCTACTTGCTTGCAACGCCACCGGGAAGGAAGCTTGTACGCTCGAAAGTCTCCACCTCTTCTTTTCCAACACGTACACAAACAGATCTCCTCCGTCTTGGCGCCGCGGATGCTCTCCAGGAGTTCGTGTCGCTGCTGCTCGAGTGAATACGCTACAGCACAGCAGCGTGGTGCAAAGCAAGGCAATGCAACGTCGGTTGGCAACCAGCCACTCGAGACCATCATTTACGTAGCTCGCATCCACACTTCGCGCAGTTTTCGCACCAAGAGAAATACGCGCACGGCTTTGCAAGATACTTCAATGTCGTTTGCGGACCACCACAGTGCCAACGTGTCCCGGATACCAGCGCATGCTAGAGAAGTAGTCACGCGACCTCGTCGTCGCAGCAGTCCCAGTTTTAGCCGATTCGCCTGATGCACGAGACATGTGCTTTGAGATCCCTTGACGGTACACCAACAGAATAGTGGCCACCACGTGTGACATGGCACCCGTTGCGTTTTCAATTCGTGCGTCCGTGATGGCGTATCCCACATCTTTGACAACAGCAGACGTCGGCACAGCGATCTCCTCCCTCTTTTCGGCGTGCGCGATAGTTGCATCGACATACTGCTTCACATCCAACGGTGCACCAAACTTTACCAAGATCGAGCCAACTGCTTTCGCACGACTGGCATGGCTTTGAACAAAACGCTGATCGACTACGAAGCGAACACGACAATGAGTGTAAACGCACAAGAAGCATGCAGCAGCAAAGAGAATGCATGACAGCATACCTCCGAATTTTGCCTCGCTTAGTAGCTCGTTCTGGTGCAGCAGTACTTCCAGCGGCTTTTCATAGTCGATAGTCACAAGTACGATGTAGAGCTAGCAGCACGAAACGAAAACACATGTCAATCTTTGAGCTTTGAGCCTCGAGCAATCCGTCAATACGAAACCGACTTACATTACTGACTCTCCCGGACACGTAGCAATCCACAAAGGTGCTAACAATACCAAACTTTGGGGGTGCAGTTGATTGCCACTGCGACTGCGTCAACCTTCAATAAAGAAATCGATCGTCTATCCTCTCGATACCAAGTACTGGGTGTACGCTCGGAACACAGCGGTATATAACGGGTCATCGGAAAACGATCGGCGAATGAAGTAAGCTCCAGACTCACGTAGCAGTTTGGTGAGGGTGCCCGCATGTAAAAACCTTCTCCAGCGACAACGTATGGAACGGGGATGGTGTAAGCGAAGAAGACGTAGCTCATGAGCAAAAAGTCCACGTACGATCGGGACAAGGCGACGCTTCCACGGCGGTCGGCCGGAAGGTCGCGAATTGGAGTCAGACCCGTCTCGTCCACAGGATTTGGTCGTACATGTTTCGACAGACCTTCCGGAGAAGCCTGCCAAACTTACGCACAGCCTTGTAATCCATTTGTGCGGCCATGGTCTCAAGTATACTGGCAGCTGACATTCTCATCGTCCGATTCCATCCCTTGCGCCAAGGCACACGCTTTGATCGCAGCACGAACGCCTTCTGACTCCAACACGCTGTTGCAAGGGCCACTGATGGACTCGACATGGGCCCGGGGAACGTGTGATGCCTCGTGGTTTACGCCTTCCTTCCATCCATCAATCAAGTAAGACCCATCATGCGACCGAGCAGCCCAGGTTTCGTGTATCTGGCTTGCGGCTTGACGTGTACGCCCAGACCGCATCAGAGAGCAGACCGGGAAATGGGATGGCACGGTGGTCTGGATCCCATTCCAGCATGCATGTTGGCGAGCGTGACCTCGAGACGGTGGCTGGACACGAGCGTGTTGAGGAAGCCGCTGCGGTGGCTCATACGGCTGACACTGCTGCGCCCGCTTGGTGCATAACGACACGTCGTCAAGTGTAGTGCAAACTGACGGGCGACGAATTTTTGCTAACGTTTGTGTAACGATGAATCTATGACAGAATCCCTCTGATTTCTGTTTTTCTACAATGGAAGGTTTCTCCTTGCAGAAAGAAGATACACTGCACTGTCCATCTGGGTCCAACCTTTAGTAAATAATGACACCCGTCTTCTCCTCGAAACGTAGTCACATCGTCCAACTTTATGCGATGCATAAACCTGCACCATGTGCATTAAGTTCTGTTGACCGTCGTTTAGTAAGTGTGAAAAACCAGATCGCGGTCATGATTTCTAAGACGTCCGACTCCACTATCTGGCTTAGTGCGGCGAGCATGTGCCAGATGCGGCAACGCAGCTGCCGTCCGTATCAGGTTTTGGCAAGGTCAAAGTTCCAGAGTCGTCTGGCTTCGGACGCCATCGCTTGAATCAATTTTGTGGGAATCCATTCAGCTCACTCATCATAAATTCTGGTTATTTTAGTAAAAACGCGGTCACGTCTGTGCGTAAAGAAAGTACAGACTCCATATTGTACACATTAGAGTACGACTCAAACTCGTACTTAATGCGGATCTGGTGTTGCAAATGTGATAGGCGTATGTTAGGGCTCGTGCTAATGCATATCGATGGACAACTCTGTGCAAGATTCGGGAGCTTACAAAACGAGCAGCGCATCGATGCCGATGAAGGGATCATAAGCAAATGGACAGTATAAACATCTTTCACCTGTCCAAGACTTCTCCTACGGATACAGTGTGCTGTGCAGCACACGCACTTTGACTTGCAACCCGAACCTCGTTTATCTTCGAGATTTGCAAAAGCGGCTCTTTTTGCACGCTATCAGCAGCCCCTTTGTAAAAAAGGTCATGGTGGCGGTCACATTGTCATAACAGCCGGTATGGCGACCATGCACGATCACATTTTTATCGTGTATCAACTCAATAGCGTCATTACCAAAACGCCGCTCAGAAGCGCTGCAGCTGCCAACTTTAACGTTTGACAACTTAAAATGTTAACAGCGACCTCGGCGGGTCAATCGATTCACTCATATATGAGAGTGTGTTGAATGGCCACAAGGCGGAAGTGTTGGTCAGAGCAAGTACGTCATGAATCCTGTCATGACCAACTGAGAGTGCGAGCACAGTAGGCAAACTGGCTTCTCGCATTCCTAAATAATCTTTTTGTGCGAGATTCTTCTTGTGAATGTCTGCCTATAAGCTATTCAGGCGAAGAAAGACGATAGCTGGGGAGATTCACACGAATTGGCGTATACTTGCTTGCTGCATGTGGTTGCCACGAACTAAAGGATGTGCTACGTCAAACGAAGTCGGGATTCGTGAGAGAGAGAGATTCATGACTATCTATTGCACATGATGGTTACGCGCTAGAAGTCTGAAATCTTCTAAGCCTAGAATACAGCGCCGGTCGCGGCGGTGGATCAAGGCACCCCTCTAGTGGTAGCGAAACTCCGCTAGCCTCAAGAGTAAAAAGTTCAAGGGAGGCATGTAAACGAGCCCCTCGAAGAACTGTCGACGCCCCTCTATGCTCACGCATAGCCAAGGCCGTTAATTGACGGACGCCGGTTGTCCAGAAATGGGCGACACTTTGAGCCGTCGTAGACTGCACGCCTCTGAACACGGCATCGTTGCGCTCGCTCCATAAATGCGTAATGCAAACGGAACACATTAAAAACCAAATCCGTCGCCACACCTTTTCCCCCGCTGCGGCATCATCGTGAAACCGCTCGAGCAACCGAGACCGCTGAAACGCCGGGATCGCCGGAGCCTGTCGATTCGCACAGTTGCTGAGACAACTATGGACTACCGCACTCGACACAGAAGCGCCGATCCAATGGCTGATGAACTTCGCCCAGCACGCCCGCGCCTTCTGACAATCCCAAAAGACGTGCCTCGACGTTTCGGGCACCCCGTGACACGTAGGCAGGGCCCGGCAGCTGGGGTCGGCAGCCCGCCCGGCATGATGAAAATTTAGCTGCTTGGTGGCGACTCGATACGCCGTCCAAACTTGATAGTCGGAGAGTCCGTTATCATGTTTCCAAAGTTGGGATGGTTGCTGATGCGCCGCCGCCCTCAGCCACGAATCCTCTCGATAGACTGCATCCAGCCGCTCCAATAAGGGTAGTAAAGGCCGAGTTAGTCGGTGTTTGTGCAGCGAGAAAGCCCGGTGCAAAATAGCCTGACGGAGAGCTCCATTAGGAACCGTTTCGGGTACTCCCCACGCCAAGTGGTGGTGACTTGGGTGAGCATAAAAGACCACGCCGTGCTGCCGGATGTGCGTAGCCCATCGCTGGCTGTCACCGTCCGACGCCGTGTGGAGCTCGGGTAGGCCGTCTTGAAACAACCAATGCAGCCCATCGGAGCCCTGGCGTAACTGCACCATTCCGTCTCTCTCCTCTAGTGAATTCCTGCGAGCTCCCACGACGCAACCCCGACTCACAGTGACCCAGTCATATTCATAACGAAATGGGGGGGATGCCGAAGAGATAATGCTGCCGCCACGCCCAATTCTGACCCGACCGTACATAACGGAGACGCCAATAAAATTGCTGTCGCCCACCGGCGAAGCTTCGGCTGGGAATACGTGACTCCCTCTGGCCGCGAGGGCGGGATGGTGAAAACATAGGTGGTCGGGCCCGTCCTCCAAATGTGCAGGTCAGCGATAGAGCAGGCGGCTATTTGATTGAACTTCGAGTGCAACAACTTCACACCTTTAGCATCCCGGATCCACGGATTGCCGGACCAGCCAAACGTCCCCCAAAATTGACGCACCGCGCGTAGTTGATAACCAGAACCCTCCGGAGGAGGGACTTCGTCAGGTAACGTAGTGGAAAAGTGTAGTTCCCAGCCACGCCCTATCCATCGACTTACCGCATGTAGTACGAGAGAATCAAGAAAAGACGATGTCCGATCCCGTCGTTGACCAGCGTGCGCCGCCGACGGCTCAAGAAGCAAGTCTAGATCTTTAGCCACGAAAGCCAGCGAAGACCTGCTGATGCGTAAAGGCCGTTCCCGGCTACGCAGCCATGTATGCATGACCATACCCGAACCGGTAGCTCCGCCTTGGTACGCCCAGGACCTCCAAAGGTCGGGATTCGTGCCTGTTATGGACACGACGCGCATTCGTCATCAAATTGGAGCAGCACCAGAACAAAAGATGTGTGAATCACAGGAACAGACGATCTGCTAATGCGCATCGCTGTCGATTTGTACATGCGAATATTCAAGATAGGAATGAAGGAATCAGATTTAATTTATTCGAATCTCGAAAGTGTCATTTTTACTCCAGCGAGAACACGACTGTTTCGTTGTGAATATCGGGGGACGATGAACGCTAATCCGCCGGTCCTGCGGCGTGTGTCCTCTGCGTCTTTGTCCTCTGTCCGCGCCGACGAGATCCACTCCCCCGACCTTCATGCAGCTACATACTCTCCTTTTTCTTTGATTACACGAGCGGAAATTCCGTCTACGACCGTTGCGACTCGTGGCGGACGTAGCGTCGCCTCATCCACGACAGCAAGTAGCAGTTCTTCACAGCTTCCACTTGCCCCCCAAGGTCTTGCATTAGTCAGTGAGGCCCCTATGGTACATCCAGGGAGCAGTAGAGAGAGAGTGTGGGTGGAGAGCGAGAAGCGCGAGAAGGGGACACAGGGGAAGGCACTTTGCGACCCAAGCAAGACAGCACCGACAGCCGCTGCTGCTTTTGAGTCAAATACTTCATCGAGTACAGGAAACGAACATACAGCCGGTAGGGAAGCTGCAGACAGTCCTAGTGCTGGATGTGCTTTTGAGCAGAAGGTAGAAGGGAAACTGTGGTACGACGTGCTGCCAACAGTGCTGCAGAAATTCAAGAAGCACGACCGCGAGCAGATTAAACGTACGCAACTTGCGATGGAAATTGGTGATCACATGGATAATGTGAGGGACTGATGCGGGGCGACGACTGCCATGTTGGTGTTTGGTGTGTGTGATGTGCAGAGCTCATGTTGCCGCGGTGTGCATTGTGCGAACGGGTAAAGGTCAACCAAAAGGCGGTGATCGAATGCCATCAGAAAGAATGCTCGTTGTTAAACCGTCCTCTGTGTTTGGTATGCTGGAAGTCGACGCATTTGTCGCGTGACGACGCACATAAGAAACACCATAGCCGACCTACTTCATGTAAGTCTGGATGAGACGTGGTATTTTTTGAGCAAGATAGTGACCGGGGGGAGTTGTGCTTCTGTTGCGAGATTGTAGTGTGTCCACAGTGCCAACTTGACCAAGTCGAGTACTGGTGTGCAGAGTGCGACTTGAAGTTTTGTAGAGCGTGCTTTAAGCAGATTCACAGCGTGCATTCAGCAAAAGATCATCGCAAAATTGCCACTGAAGGTTGGTCTAGCTATGGTCAAGCCATTGACAATAGCCTGGGCTTGTACTAATCGCTACCATGTCGTGATAGATGCGCCCGGAACCTGCCTCGCACAGTCTCATTGGTCTACGTCTTTCTACGAGACGATTCGCCATTTGATTGCTTCACGAAAACTGATGGTAGCTGAAAATACCGGTGGTAGCACCAGCAGCATCGGTGGAAAACGGAAACGCGAGATTGAAGTAATTGTGATTGACAACGACGACGATGACGAGCAATATGAGCCGGGAATCATCCCATCGTCCAGCAACCAAAGCCCAGAGCAACAGATGGGTGCCTCCGGGCCGACAGCAGTTCGGCAAACTAGCAGGAGCAATGACATGTATGTTCTGCCACAGCGGAATACTTCAGCCGACACTGCTGACCACACCCCGGCCGCTTATGGAACGGTGATTGAGCCTTTCCCGTTCTTTGAAGAGCCTATTCAAGCGACGTCAGTACTACCGACACCTTATGTTTCACGGGCGAATCCATCGTACAGCACGTCCAGTTCGAAAGGCGTCAACAATGTCACGTCCCATGCGAGTTCAGGTGTACAGTGGAGTGATAGCAACTTCTCATTCGGGCTGTCGCCACTGGCACGGAATGGGAACAGAAGCTCCGTCTACGCGACGAATGTTATGGCCGACAGGGACACGCTGAGCCCCGCACCTGCCAGTGCCGACCCACCGATTTGGCCGCCCACGCATAGCATCAGCCCAGGCATGGCTAGCGCATTGAATTCAAGCACTGTTCAACCGTCCGGTGGCGCCGTTTTTGCGGAGAATGTGCTCGTTGATTCGCTGGTGGATCGCTATCACGAAGTAAACCAGAATGTGGCGAGTATGGAGCTACAAAGTGAACAATTAACCAGGCAGATAGCTCTTGCCGCGTGCCAAGGACCATACAGTGCGAGACCCATGATGGATTTACTGAACAAGCTACAGCCTGCGCTAGAAGCTGCAAAGGGTTTGCGAGATAAGCTCCTTATTGCGATGATAATCCAGTCCGACGACATCATGGCTGCTGTGCGTCCTCTACGGCTCTCGGAACTCGGTGATGTACCACAGGTCCCGTCGATTAGCCACCGTAAGTGTCTGCAGTTTTCGATTGAGATTAGCCGGCACAAGAAAAAACTTGTCGAGTTGAATCAAAGGATCAGTGACACGCTTACCAAGTCTTACGCCGTGACCTCCAGCACGGAGAACTCGCTTATTCAATCTGCCAGCGCCGAGATCCAAATGCACGAAAGGAATATCGCGAGGCTAAAGAAAGCTCGCAATGTGGAGTTTGTGCGAATCGTGCAGTTCAGTAGCAACATCCGTGAAGCGCTAAAACACACGTTTCAGCGGACCTTTGAAGCCCAGCGCCAGCAGCAGCAATTACAACAATTCCAGCCGTTGTGATGATTGCTGAAGATTCGCAACCCCCACACCGGGGTCAAGATATGGCCGTTCGAGCAAGCCTGAAAATGGCGCTGAAGGGAAGCGCAAGGCGTAGCCAAGGGGTTATTTAACGTGGCACACGATGCAGAATGTGCAGCTGCGTCAACTGTGCCGGTGGACGAGGATCCAATCCGGCCCACGAAGATGTACAGCATCCTTATGCAGCTCGTCAAGCAGATCGAAGTATGTAAGCGCCTCGCTCGCTTATTTGCTAAACTATTGGGAAAGTGACCAACTCGCAATCGCGTGCAAGTCGAAAGCCACGGCAGATTTTGCAATAGCAATGACGAGCCACGCAATTTCTTCAGTCACCTCAGCGCGTGCCTGCGATGCGACGTTTGCGACGAGGTGTACGTTGCTCGTGTTGAACGCTTCTCGCATATCAATTACTCTATGAGGACGGGTGCGTTTGATGGTCCCTCAAAGGGGTTTTATTACACCGTATCGGCAAGTGATCTCGGACAGGTCGGCTGCTTGATTGCTTTATCTGCTGACTGCTTCCGGCCCAATCACGCGGACGACATGCAAGCATTGTTAGGACTGACAGTGAACGAACTGATGATGTCCCGGGCATTTAGTGGAGCATATTGTAAGAAACGTATATGATTCCACCAAGATGTCGAGCGCCAGTCTATCTTGACGTGCAGGCGTACTGGCATCCTACACGTACAAGCTGTGCGTCGGGATGATATCATCTTTCTTCGAGTCCATGCACGGCACCGAGAGCCACGCGTAGTAGAACGCAGCGCCAGCCAGCATGTGCATCAGGCCCTTGGCAACCCCCAACGCGGTGTGGTTCTCTTCGTCTTCGTAGTAGAGAGCACAAACGGCTGCAACCGCCGCTGCTCCAAGACTGTAGAGCGCGTACTTAGCGTTTTGCTTGTTCAGAGGGGCGATGTCATTGCTCGCAGCAAACAGTCGACGAAAGCCAACGCCCAGCAGGTAGCAGATCACGAGCATCCCTTCGTAGAACGTCGAGTCCCACCTGTCCTTGGTCTTGAAGAGCCACGAGCCAGCAAAGGCCACGTAGCGCAGCACAATGTTCCGGTTCTCGTCTTTGTACCCCATCAGGTGGACGCAGAGCAGCAGAAAGTAGGCGATGGACACCACATCCGAGAGAAAATGCCACTCGTCTTCCAGAAGGAACAGCGGCGTATCGAAGGCCTCGGCGGCGTTGAAGAAAAACGAGATCAGGAGCTGCGAGACGCCTATAAACAGCTCAAAGTGCCGCCGATTGCGCTGCATCACGACCAGCGCCGGCAGCATCGCTGCGTCCGTCAGTGCTAAACACACGAAGCGTCCGATTTCCAGCAGCATTGTTGGTCAATGGGGACCGTCGAGCGTCTCGTGGAGTCCCCAAAGAGCGGAACTGAGTGCCCGATTAGACCTCTACACCCTCATCTCCTCTCGAAATAAATAAATTAAGCGGACAGTCAACACGTGTCACCCGTCGTGCACATTGCTATATTTGTTGGTGCAACACTATACCGTCTCGGCAAGTGTCCTCCTGATGCGCACCGAGATGTTCTTTATATGATTGTTGTAGCATGATGTCCGCTATACGATCGTTTTACTCAACCCGTTTTCAGCCTTTTCTCGTAACCGCACCAGACGCTTTTTATCGTGAGAAAATACTCAGCCTTTGTGCAAGTGGCACGTGTATCTTGTCATCCGTTTGCTTCGCTTTCTGCAGGAATTGCTGCTATCATCGATTGCTTTTAAAAAACACCTCGAGATGTCTGCATCTGGTGGTACCAGTCGCCACTTCAATCATTGCTACTTCGCACGCGCTGAGCTTCCACCGATTTTTGCGGCCTCGTCCGTCGACTCAGTCTGTCTTTAACATTTGGCTCTTCGTATTTCCGCTTACAACGCTGATACCCGAAGCTGCAACGCCACCAAGCACGAGCCTTCGTTGTACTTCAAGCCGTCGCCGTTCTTCGCTAGCTAAACACTACCGTTTCTGCCATCTTCCCCTTTGTCGTACTGCTTGAGCGCTAGCGCAACACCTCACTCAAGTGCGAACAGCTCCCGACTTGCGCTGTGGCTGTCGCTTCCTCCGCTGCATGTAACACAAAGAATATCAGCAATTTCAAGCTGGTGGATCTGCTAGCGCTATAGCTATGGAGTGGACGCAGCAAACAAATGTCAGCTTGTGCCGCTAGTACACACACATGGTCTGCCGCACGGTCACACGTGGAACCGTTATATCAACAGGGCATGTGACAGCTTCAAACGCCAGGTGTGACAGCTCTTTTACGTTCTGCAGCTGGCATTGTCCGTGACGAATCCAAGAAGTACCTAGATCAGCATATCTCCGTCTTCGTCCTAATCATCGTTGGTTACGCTCATAAGGCCCTGGGCTCGGTACAAATCGGCGATCTGCAATGTAACGGGGTGAGCCCGTTACATAAAAATTGATACGAATGTATCAACCTTCGAATATTATTTATTAACATGATATTCAATCAACACCACTCGAGAAGCGGTAATGATGGTGGAACATTACCCCCGAGGGTAATATTATCGGGTACTCCGCTGATTGGTTGATGTAGCGTCTACATCAACCAAATGACCCACCAATTGCTGCTGGACGCGCGCAATGGGTGGTGAACAAGAAATCCACATAAGAGATTGTAGTTCAACATAGTTCGATTAAGACGAAAGGTGGTTTATTAATGAATCATTACTATATTAAATAACAGTTCTACGTTTTCTATTAGACAGAGCTTCCCTAGCTCTGCTTATTTATTCGCGCTTCCTCACGCCACGTGTACGTGACGTCGGGAGTACTTAGCCTTGTGTTCTAGTAACACAAGGTCTTACCGGTTATCTGGTAAGAGCGTTCCCCGTTACACATAGTCTGAGAACAGAATGACTTATATAACAGCATCTTCGTGTTTTCTCCAAATAATCGTGGAAGCGCGAAATGTGATGTATTGCCAAAATTTGAAACGGTATTTCGCTTGCATGCTTCCCGGCGATCCTCCACGATCGTACGGACACCCCCTACGTCTCTCGCAGTCCACACACTCACCCACATAGCGCTGCACACTCCGGTATAGTCCTCGCCAATCGAAATTGATCCTTGTCCTGTGATACGTACGCCCTATTCCTTGATGGTCATTGGTCATACTTGCGTGGTAGTGATGTAGGAATCTCGCTGCAACAGCTCCAAAAAATTCCAAATATAATGACTCCACACGATATTTCGCGTTAGCTACCAATCAGAAACAGTATAATATGATAAAAATTGATCCACCTCATATTTTGGTGCAATCAAGGCACACATCTCCTCTCTTACTGATTTTAGCGTGTCCACGTCCCCGATCGGATATGTGTTCAATTCCGGTATCCAATACTCTTTATCCTGTGCTTCCTATATACGATCGATCCGCATTTGCTGCACAATCCCTTCTTGCTAAAATCAGAGCTGATTTCACCTTCTCACTGCAGATCGATTAATTGCCGCTATCTTGACTACCGTATCGGCCGGGTCGACAATCAACAAATCATTCAGCCGATCAAGTTTGATCACATCTAAAAGATATTGGTCAAAAGCTACGATCTAATCTTTCTCCCGCTGTAGAAGTTTGCTCGCCAACTTGTCTGTGTTCTGGATACAATCCTTCCTCACGTGTAGAAACTCGTGGATTGGTTTCAATATTAGCTTACCCGTGGTGTTGTGACGCAGTGATTGCAAACCAGGAGCTTTGCAGTCGGTCTCACCACGCATCTGCCGGTCTCCTAATTTAGATCAACGCAATATATCATTATCATTGGGCTTGATCAGCGAGCAGATCGAAGATGAGTCGCAAGCCTCGAGAGTCCGCATCGTTTCCGGTAAGATCATCGATAAAATCGGAAGCGGCAGCCATAATCGTCACCTCTGGCACACTACATATGGTCGTACTGCATGCACTTCCCCTCCTTTTTAATGTTTTCAATCTATTAGGCCTGGCTAATTGAGGCATTTATCTTCTCCGACAGTGGGTGTTTGCGTGCCTATCTTTTGCCTAAGTTGTTTGCGCGGGGCGAACGCGATCAATACTCCATCCAATTCTTTAAGCGGAGTCACATTCGCCGTCACTGCGCCCAGTATATCATCTTATCTTTTAAATGACTGACGGATTGCTAGTCTTCAGGTTGATAACAAAGCAGCCATTCTTATCCATATTACATTGAGACCGAAAAATTGTATCAGCCGGGACAAGGTTGAATAACGCGTGGGCATAGGAATCTCGCGTGACACTAGCATAGTGTAACAAATACCTAGCATCCGTGAAAGAACCAAAACTTCATTCTCAACCACCCCGTAATTATTTTCTTTTTTAAGCTTCTATGTACGACTACAAAAAGCGACTGGCCAATAGATTTCATCATGCTACTGCAAAATCGAGGCCGATACTGTCCACTTACTGGCATACACCATGATCACTCGTGGCCGATCTGGTTCGAGAAGATTGAGTTTGGCGTTTTGATTAATGTATCCTTGAGTCTAGTTAAGGTAATCATCTCTTTGGTTTTACGCCCTCCCCCTTAAAAATCCTGATCGCCCCATGTGGTCTTGTCCAGATCGAGTTTGTATTTACTTCCAGGATTTTGATCATGATTCCATTCAGCCTCCGGTACGGATAACGCTACATGACGTGCGCGGCTTCTCTCGTGGGAGTCCACTCGCGCAGCTCATGAATTACTGACGAATGGTTTGCAAATTCCTCCTTAAATCTACTGTAGTAAATTAGATTTCCCTAAAAAATATCGCATCGATCCATATGGACATCGAAACGGGATGTAAAACAACGATGCTAATTTCTTCGAATTTTCTTATAAACCTGCAAGTGCGACCTGATGACCCAATTATTTTAGCTCACGACGTCCCAAGAAAGTCATTGCTAAACTGATCGACATAATCCGCTGAGCAAAGACTTCCAACAATCAATCTACCTTCTTATATATGA